GCCCAGCTGCATCACGACAGCGCAGAGCGTGTCCATGGCCGTGCCCCTCAGTTCCGGGCACTGGTCCAACGTACGTACCAGAGTGTGAACGATTCGCGATGCAAAATCCATAAAATCCAGCGTGTCCGCGAGGAGATCGACCGTCTCGAGAGCGACTTTGTTCACGGCTATCGGGCAATCGTTCGCGTAGAACAGCTTCACGATCGGCGGAAGCACGAGATGGAGATAATTGTCCAGATTGTTCCCAAATGTCTGTAGAGCCAGAAGCAGCTTTACCGTCACCGCGCGATCCTTGCTACTGTCGTGCGTCAGGACTCTCAGTATCGGCGGCATCAGCTGCGGCAGGTAGATCTTGAACTCCGCGCCCAGGGCCATCGCGATCTGCTCTACTAAAAGTATCAACGTGCTCTGCAACGGGCTATTCACAGTCCAGAATTCTTTGATCAAGGTAAATATGTCGTCCAGGTAGTTGCGGATGTGTTGCTTCACGATAGCGATGAGAACGGCCAGCTGTTGGAACAAAAACTCACGGAAATTCATGTCCGCCGTGTGCACGACGTTCAAGAAACTCGGCATCACCTGAGAGATGTACGGCACGCACTTTATCCCGAGGCTCTTGAATATGAAGGTTACCGCTTGCACCACCATGGTGTGATGCTGGGACAAGGTCGGCTCGCGAATAATTCGCATAAGCGTCGTGATGGCGATCGCTGGATAAAATTCCTCCAGTGTGGACGGCGACATGTTCACCAGCATCTCACTGGTTGTCAAGTCCTGGGTGTTCTCCACATCACTCTTGGTGTCCGCCATCGAGGTGAGCGTGTCTAACTGGCAGTCGATTTGTCCAAGATTCATCTTGTGCTTGTAGGGATCTAACGCACCCAACTGCCCGAGCACTCTGATCGCCTCTCGCCTGATGATCGGCTGTTGCTCGGTTTTGAGGAAATTAATGAGAACGTCCAGCAGAGACGGATATTGCAGGTACGGTTTGACCACGTGCCCTGTACTACCGACCAACTGGCCGAACACCCACAAAGCTACTCCTCTTTTCTCGGGCGAACTGGCGTCCATCAACATTTCCAGCAATATCGACGACAGCTCCGACATCCACTGCTGCATCTCGGCACCGTTGACCTCCGCCAGATCACCGATCGCGCGCAGAACGGCCAGCACCACGCCAGGATTCGGATCGGATTCCTTCAACTTCGGGACAAGAACCTTCAGGATCGGCTCCATGTATGGTCGAACGAGTCTCGGCGCGGTCACGACCAAGTGATCCAACATTCGAGCGGCTTGCTCCTTGTTACGACCCATTCCCGAATGCTCCAATTCCGTAAGAAATTGCACCAGAGTCTTCCTCAACGATGGCATAACGTAAGCGGGATTCAAGGTGCTGAGTCGTCCGACGGTACGAACTGCCAGTTCTCTTATTTCGAACATCTCGTCGTTCATGGCGATAAACAACGCGGACAAATTCTCCGCTTGCGCCAACTGGACGTCAAAGGAGTCATCCAACGACGCCAACACCCATAGACGAACGTCGGGATCTGTATCAGTTATTCCCACCACCAGCAATTTACCTAGAACAGTCGAGACGGTAGTGGTTACCGTGGGGCCAGACTGATTCAGTGTTAATCTCAATAATCTCGAGCACGTCTTCACAGCTTCCAATCGGACCTCTGCCTGTTCCGACGTTAAAAAGTGGTCCGCGCATCTCTTGACGAACTGTAACAGCGGATTATTGTCAAAGTTAAAGGTGCCCAGCGTTTTCAGTGCGAGTACCGTCGACGAGACGTCGTCCGCCGCGGAGTTAGGACTAGTCGCGGTCCACGGCGCGCCGGGATGTCTCAACGGCTTCTGCATCAAAACTTGCGACAGCATTCGCAAGAGACCCTGAGATATGTCCACCTGGAGAGACGGAATGCTGTGCGCCAGTTCTCTGAGCGCTGTGGTCAATATTGGGCTTAATCCAGTTTGAAACATGGGCTCCAGCAAGTCCCTGACATCGGAAGCTATGACCTGCTTGACCGCGTGACTGAGCAAAGTGATGCAAACGAACACCGCGGGCTCGAGAGGGGTACGCTTCTTGCTCGGGGTTTCCTTAGACGGTAGCAAACTTTTGATCATCTCCATGATCTTCGGCAGATACGGATTTATCGCGTCTTCCACCGCCACGGCTATAAAGCCGATCGACGTGAAAGCGGCGTAACGATCTTTCTCGCGACTGCGCAGGATCAGCAAAAGGTACGCCAGGGACTCCTTCAAATGATCCTTTATGAACTTTTCTTTATTAAATGCGGCGAGCCTCGGCAATAACATCATGAGGGCGTGCTGAATATGCGGATTCCTAGATATCTTTTGATTCATAACGTCATTGTAAATTTCGTCCAGTCTCTCCTGCATCAAGCATCTGCAAACGGTCGACTCGTGCGCCGGATACAACGTGTGTTGAGACGCGGTGGCGTTCTGGCCGGACACGGCCCATTTGGATCCTATCGTCGTCTTCAAACGCGGCATCAAGGAAAGTATGTCGTTTTCATTTTGCGTAGAACCGTTCAGTCTTTCCATTAGAGCCTCATAGTTCCTTTCCCATTGGACGTTACTGCATCTCAGCAGCTCGTTTAGCACTAATAGCGAGCCGTGTATCCTGTCGTCTCTGTTAATGCCCTTCTCCTTCGTGTGAACCTCCGCGAATCCATCTATTACCTCGTCGTAGCACTGTTTGTACCATTGCGACTTGTGCATCTGCTTGACAGTTTCCCTCTGAGCGGTGACTACCAAGGCCGCTCTCAAAGCTTCCACCGCGCCTTCCCGTACAGCGGGTTTAGGATCGTGTATAGCGTTGAATATCAACTCGAAAAATGGCGTAACTTGTTGGAAAAAATACGTTGGCACGGAGACAGCGAGTTCTCTCAAGACGAGCACGGCGGCGTGTTTCCTGCCCTCGTGTCTATCCGCGCCAAGCCACTCGAAGGCACGTTTCACCTCGAATTCAACGTATTCGGCTGTATAAGTACCGGAGACTAGCGCCAGCTTCCCGACAGTCTTCGCAGCTAATTGCATGACACCCACATCGTTGGAAGGTATCAAATTTCTAAGATAGTTAGCAAATCGTACCGTCCGCGTATTAAAATTACCTACATCTGCCCCTATAAGGCAAACTATGGCTAATATACCGCCTTTCTTCTCGTTGATGTCAGAGGCGGATACCATTTCGAATATGTGATGATTGAATTCATCCATGAAAGCCGTGATCTCTTCCTGCGACGCCTCCCGCAGTTCCCTCTTGACGTACAGGCACAGATCACGTGCTGCCTTGTTACGTGCCTCCTCATTTCTCGACTTGAGTCGCTGGACAAATTGCTGCATCAGCATGTTCGACATTGTTTTACCGTTGGATGTATAAATCAGGGTGTAAAACATAGCAGTCCGGATTCCATCGGATTCCTCTCATCTGACGCCCTGAAAAAGAATCATTCTCATATTCTCGTACGTTTCACGCTAGACCATCATTTATAGTCACTTACACAGGGCGACAGCAATGATAAAATCTATAGTCCTTGAATAAGTTATAACGCGAATTAAAATCAAAGAATCAAAGATAAAGATATTTTTCTTGTATTATACTTTTATCTTTGATTTTAGCTGCGGTTCACTTGACACTACAACTGCTTCGAAGCATTCCTCTTCTCTTTTCTTTCAATGAAGAAAGAAGAAGAAGAACGTTCCAAAGCATTTGTAGCGTCAAGTATTTAGACCGCAGCCTTTATAATTCGCGTTATACTTATTTAAAAACTAAAGTGATAAAAGTGTACAGACATAGGTCTTAAGTGTACATACATCCCGGTATTGGTACATTTATCTTACGTTTGCACTTACTTGGCACTATATGGATTCCTTTTTGCGACAGAGCATTGTCGCCAGCAATATAAATGCCTCCATTCTCGCAGCGAAAAACGGCTTCGGCGTGTCCTCATCCATACAGATGTTGCAGAGTTAATTCAATATATACAATCCCATGTCTGTGATCCCCGGCGTTTTCCGTGTCTCACAACACCATGTCGTCTCTCGCTCGTTATCCGCTAACGAGCAACGAAGTTGCGTAGCTTCGTTGCGTAACTCAGACGTCACTCTCGTTATGTCCTGCGACAATTATTGGGAAACAAATATTTTTTTTCCAGATACGTGTGAGAATTATAACCTCCAAGAAACAAAAATGCTGCACTGGCTATGCTGGGAATGCTGGGATTGCTAGCTAGCGCCACTGTCGCAAAATTAGATGAGGTTAGGTTGGCAATAATATGACGTTTTCAATCGAAGTTCGTAAAGGCTGAGTTTCCACTGAGCGCGTCACGCGTCGCGTCATCACGAGTTAAACCAATCAAATCATCCCATTTTGATACCGTCACAAATAATGTAATAAAATGGGATGTTTTGATTGGTTAACTTAGATGACGCGACGCGTGACGCGCTCAGTGGAAACTCAGCCTTATTTGTGTGTTTTATTTAGTAACACAAAAAAATATAAATAATAAAATTAGAACGATTTCAAAGAATTGCTTGATCGACAATTTCTTCAGCCAGCAGAATTGTTTGAAGTAAAATTCCGAACTACATAATTTCCTATTATATTTTTGTTCTATATCTGTTAAACAACGAAATTCTATTTACCAGGTTAAAGTTACTTGAATACTCGCGAGCGTAAAAAGCTGTATTTTTGTAAGTCCCAGTCTACAATAGGTCTTTTAAGCCCTAAGCCTTAAGAAATTGTTCAATCATAGTTGAATTTGAGGAGAATAATTGACTGTGATTGGTCAATTTCTTAGAGCTTAGGGCTTAAAACACCTGTTGTAGACTGGGACTAATTCTCAGCTGTCATTGGTCGATGTGCTTACGTTCTTTAATTTACTCCGGTCTAATGACGTGGCGTGCGCGAAGCGAATCGTCGTTTCTCGGCACCGAAAAGCGCCTCTACGAATCATCATAGGCTGTTTACACCTGGGAATCTGGGAAACGCAAAGTCGCAAACAGTCGCGCAAAGGACGTAATGATCACTGAGGACTCTAGAATGACAAGCGGCCGTGGCGACGCGACGAACGAGCCGACGGCGAGGCGGTGAACGTGCGATAGAAGTCTGTCGCGAGATCGGCGCCGATCAACGCTGTCGTCGTGAAGGTGAACCACATTCCGGCCAAATCCCTCCTGTGTTCGACCGAATGCCGAACGCCACCCACCCCGTACACGTTCGGTTTCGTGAATAAATTATGAGCGTGGACAGCGAGAACAAGTCGAGCGAGGCGCGAACGATCGCGCCGTACAGTGCGGAGAACGGCACCGACGGTGGTGTCGAGAGTGGTCCGGTGACGCCGGAGATGGTGCTCCGATTGCCCACCATCACGGACAGTATGTTCCCACTTGGAATTTAAATACCGCTGCCTAGCTAGGTGGTTTTTCTCTCCTAATACTCGCCGCCTGTCAGATCATCTTTATGCATAACAATGTTTTCAGAATATCTCTGCTCTCCCGAGGCCAATGTCTACGACATAGACTTTACGAGATTTCAGATTAGGGATCTAGAAACTGGCGCCGTACTGTTTGAGATAACAAAGCCTCCTGCTAGTGGTGCGTAACACACTTTCGGACATCATAATTGTAATTTAGCACTTAAAGGACTCTAATAATGAAGAAAGAATCGGAAGTCTTGATTAAATTTATAATGTTATTGTTCAATGTTATATTTGTTGTTGTTGAATGAACGATTACGATATTACAATTAATTATTTAATTGTTTGCAATGTAAAATTGTGCAATATATGAAGTTTAATAAATACTTAATCTGGAAAACAAAGTATCAAATTCAAGTTTTAAATTTAAATCGAGCTTCAAATGTCAATTTCACATCTAAAATAATCGTTTTTAATTTTTACACCTTCCAGAATGTGATGTTCATCAAGAGCCGGAACCGGATTGCGAAGAACTCGGATCTGAGGATGCAAACACGGGACGCTTTGTGCGGTATCAATTCACGCCGCAATTTCTCAAGTTAAAGACAGTCGGAGCAACAATCGAATTTCTAGTAGGGCCTAAACCAATCAATAACTTTCGGATGATAGAACGGCACTTTTTCCGAGACAGATTGCTGAAAACCTTCGATTTTCAATTTGGATTTTGCATACCAAACAGCAAGAACACATGCGAACACATTTATGAGTTTCCAACATTGCCTGCGGATCTTGGTAAGTCACCAGAAGAAATTTCAAACATATTCGTCAATGTCTGAAATTGTCTGTAACGGCGAAGAATCGTAATTCTGAACAACGTGTGTGTGTTTCCAGTTTCCGAAATGATCGCGAATCCATTCGAGACGCGATCAGATTCATTTTATTTCGTCGACAATCAGCTTGTGATGCACAATAAGGCCGACTACGCATACAACGGTGGGCATACAACGCACGACGTATTATAATGTGCGGTTTGTTGATTAGTATATATATATATATATATATATATTGCAAGTGATATATAGAATTATAAAAGTATATCACAGTTACATGTTACTGCGGCAACGAGATGATCGGTCTGCACATTCGGCTAGCGTTTGACACTTTATATTGTTTTTCGGCACAAAAACGAGCTTAAAAATTTATCCGCGGATCGGCACCGATTCCCGAACACGCTAATATTGTTGTAATGGAAACGCTTTCATCTAAAGCTACACTTGATTTCTCGACAAATTGAACAGTTCCTATTTTTCTTTAGTACAAAAAAGAACGGTTATTTATTTATAAATTATATCATTTATAATTATTATCAAATCAAAGTGATATTTAGTTTTATAGACTGTTTTAATGGCGCCTGTTCTTACGCGATATATTCGCTAGCGGCGAGTATCGTTATTCAAAGCACATGTAGCACATTGACACACGTGGCCTCTGAGTGGAATTACATCTGGTTCCACGAGCTTTTCTAACATTTTAAGTAACAGCCTACACAATCCCTACACAACATGTGGGACAATATGTGCGATGGAGGGCAAACTGAATTAGGAATTGCGTCTTTCAACGCTCAACGGCGCTTTTATGCCGCAATTAACTTACAGTTTCTTTCCACTCTCTTACACGACTACTATTGTTTGAATACTTTTCACATTATTCTATAATATTGTGGAGTTTATCCAAAATACACGTATATATTTACAAAGGACATTTTGTGACTTTTTCTTTACATATTCACGAGTATCACAAGGCCGAGCAATTGATAAAAGTTGTTAGAAGATCGACGAATTCGTTGGGTTTATCCGCGTGAACCCAGTGGCTCGCTCCATCGACGTAATGAAATTTCGCCATGGGAAATAGCTTCTTGATCGCGTCGTGATCTTTCGCTTGAATGTAATCGCTATTGGAGCCGCCTATGAACAACGTGGGGCCGTCGTAGATCTTTGAGCCTACATTAGGAAATACAGCTATCTGAGTCGAGAATGCCTGCTCCAGCACCGGTAAATTAACTCGCCACTTGTACTTTCCCGACTCGGCTTCTACCAGGTTCGTCAGTATGAACTAGACAGACAATACAAAATTGTGATTCTCTCATATCGAGCATGAAACAAGAAGAGAAACAGAAGATAATGGTTACCTGACGCATTGAGCTAGATTTAATAGACTTGGCTAGTTGCTGGTCCACCGTTTTGCGCGCCTTCGACAAGCTGAGACTCCCGTCCACCATCACCAAACGCATGGCCTCGAAGATCCTCTCCATCTGCATGAGATTCGGACTAGCTCTCACGGGAGACATGTCGACGACCGCCAATTTCTCGATGTGTTGTGGAAAATTCAAAGCGGTGTACATAACGGCCGAACCACCCATACTGTGGCCAACCAGGACGGCTCTCTCAAAGCCTAGGTCGCTCAGGAGCTGGATCACATCCCCCGCCATGTCCTTGTACGACATGTTCGACGAGTGTGGAGAATCACCATGATTTCTGGCGTCCACCGCTATGACCTATATATATTCACTTTCTTAAGCGCAACAAAGCAAGCTACCTTTATAGATACTAATAATGATGCAAGAAACGAAACGCGTAGTTGCTCTATATGTTAAAAGACATTTAAAAAAAATCCATTGTAATTTAAAATTTAGTTGTGTTTCCTTCATAGATTACCGGAGACTCCAGAGAGAGCTACCTTACGCTTGGTCTTTTGGTGGATCGCTTTCGACAGCGAGTTCCAATTGTTTTTCGAACCGAAGAGGCCGTGCATTATTATAATAGGTTCCTTCGCATCCTGCTCCTGCTCCTTCACCGACTCGTACGAAGTGTAGGCGAGTTTCACTGGCACGGTTCTTGAAGAAAAAAAAAAAAAAGAGAACGGGAACAGGTTAGGAATCAGGCGCGCGAATTAATCGCGTTTCGCAGCGCGAATACCTACAACAGCAGGTTGCTGCGTAAACATTGGCGGCAGGAGGAGTGCAGGCTTTTAATCGAGCGAGGCAAGCCGGTGGGTTTTCTCCACGGAAGAAGAACCGCTAAATTTCGGCCCATCATTATATCAATTGAATGCCAATCGACAATCGACACTCGCGCGCGTGTTCCGTTCTCCTTTCTTCATCTAACAATTACATTAATCACAGAGGCCTCTGATAGCACACGGTTGCTATTTATAAATTCTCGTTTGCCAAAACTGCAGATTTAGCACGCGCGCGCGCGCGCTTCAATGTTTATAACATTAACATATTCTCTCGCCTTTCGTCACAGTTTACAACGTACGCAATACCTCTAGCAATACCTACGTGTCACTCGTGCATCCGATTCGTCCTCTCTCCTTATCAGAATTTGGACAAACCTTTCACATCCCAAAGCTTCAATTGAGTTCTCTCAGCGTCCATAAATACGGATCTATTATTTCATTACGTTAAAATATTTTATTAATATTAATTTTAATTTGAATAATTATTAAATTCTTAATAACTCTCTTACCTTTTTGTTATTAATTTTCGTAGTTTCTTTATTTTTAATAATTTATTACATTATTAATAAATGTAAATATTTCAAGACGATTTTAAATGTAAAAAAATACCACCCAGGTAGAGGACAGGAGAGCAATTACATGAAAAGATAACACGACAACCGATCATCATTCGCTCAACGTGCACGGATCGGTTCGGACGTGTTTTGTCCGGGAGGAAAATTTTTTTAAATATTGCGACTGTTACTGTCTGCATTGATTTCCACTCAGATTTTCAGTAATTTCCATTTAGACTTCGCTACGCTAACAGTGATTCAGACTTGTTAACAAACAGTGGTAAGTGAGGCTGTATTGTCCGCTGTTAGGCGGCAGCAGCCAATAAAGTGAAGAAGAAGAAGAAGACAACCGATCATATATCAAGGCGATTCATGCCGCAGGCGCGACGCGCTCGAATCTCGAATTCGACGAAGTTTTCAACCACTTGGAAATCATTTTGAACTTTGAAATACTCATTGACGGTTTGCGCGAACTTCTGCCCGCGTCTGTGTCTGTGAGACGGACGATCTTTCAGCTTTCACACTCCTCCGTAAGATGAATCAGTCGGAAAGTACTACCAGACCGGGCAGTAGCAACGTCATGTATACTCCGCGTACGCCGCGAATGCGTCAACGACAACGGTTCAATTTGAGCACTAAACCGGAAGAGGACGGACTCGATGGACTGGAAGGTACAACGTGCTTTTTCGTATCAGAGAAGAAAAAACCTAGAGAGCGGATGTAAAACAATGGAATATATCACAAAAAGCTTGTCCTTCTGACGAGTTGTCGTGTAGCCTGATTTTAGTATGTCAATCAATTGTCCAGTTTTTAAATATTTAACGTCTTTGTTAATTCTATGCTTGAATAATGCGCTTCCTCTAATTATTATCAAATTAATTAACTTTACAGAATTGATAGGCCAAACGTGGAACATTTATGCGGCGTCCGCTTTGTTTGGCTTCCAACAAGATGACATTCACTTCAAACTGTATTCAAAGAAATTGAGAGAAGAGGTTGCGAGCACCTTGTCACATGAAAATGTCACTTACAGCGCAAAGTTTTCTGTTGTGGAGAATATTGTCTGTGGACCAAATGAAGACCATCCAGCAATCAAGGTCCAATAAAAGAAGACACATAATTTTAATTTTCTGATCTCTTATTTAATATCTTATTATTCAAACATGTACATTAGAAACGCAACAAAAAATTCAAGGTCTGGTTAAAATATATTTTAGATTGAAGTTACAGCTGAAACCAATGATCGTGAGAAAGATGTCAAGAAACAGATCTATAAAGGGATATTATTATCCTGGAGGATAATACAGACTGAATCGAATATAGAGAATTCCATAAGATTGCCCCTTCTGCTGTGTCGTGGCACTCGCAGCTGTATGGATGCAGTGCACGCTATCATCGGTCGTATGTTTGATTGCTTGGTAATTGCGCTGCCAGCCAACGAGGACGACTTAAGCTGGCTGATTCCGATTATAATTATGGCGCCTAAGGCGGATCAACGGTTACTTTCCGGTGAAGTTCAAATGGAATACACAGTGCCAGAATTACCAGTTACAGATACCATTACAGTTAAATTTCACACTTCAGATCTGAAAAAGATATTATCAACGTACGAATGTTAACGTTTAATTGTACAAAAGTGTCCAGTGTTATTTGTAGCATATATTTTATACCGTTGTTTATTAATTTGCAGCATTATCAAAGATCAAGATGACAGAGTTAACGTATCTCTTGATCACGAACACATAGAAATGTTTTTTGAAGTCTTGCATAAGCAAATGTTAACGCTAGGAGGTTTGCAGTTAGGACTATGTACGCTGCATAGGATTAATCTACCTGGAATAACAATAACGGAGAATAGAGTGAGTTTTTATCTTATCTTTATTTTTTTTCTCATTTCACATCGAAATTGTCTTAAAATCTTATAGTTTATACATGTTTGTACAGTCCGTAACGTCTTTTTTTTTATTTTTAGATGAAAGTAATGAACATGGAAATTATGAATAATATATTATTGTACTTCAATGATAAAGCTCTTGATATATTTCATACGGTGCATATTGATATATAATCTTTTCTTAACGTCTTGTGATACGAATAACATGATTTAGGTACAGTAACAGTACGATCGTTGCAATAACCATTTACATTGCGTGTCAGTATAAAAAAAAAATCATTTATATATATTTTTGTAAAAAAAATCTCACACTTGCGTACATATACTGTATCTTTGTCAATATAAAAAAAATACATGTATATACTTCAGTTCTACATTATTATATGAATTGTTCCTTTGAATTTGTCATTGTAACAAACGAGTCTTTAATTTACACCTTCAACACCTTCTATTTCCATTACACCTTCAACACCTTCTATTTCCATCTGTAAAAAAAAAGAAAAAAAAAGAAAAATGGAGTATATTTAGTGAAAAACCAATATATACACAAAGTCGATATTCATTGTACAGAAACTTACTGCATCGGTAACAACGTTGTCCTTTGTCGTATCCTGATTACTCTTGGCCTTTACTTTTTGCATGTAATGTTCAAAATTTATGTAATCGTCTGGTTTCTGGTCAAGTGGTGAGGGTACAGATATTCCAAGTACTTCAGGTAACATAAAAGGTTTTAACCACGTCACAAGTGGGGTAACTCCAAACATATATAGTGCTCTGCGATGATAAAATAGAAACCCATCCAAAGGCTTTAGGTCATCATCAAGACTCATCAAAGCTGAATTGTAGTCTGAGTTGAAATCGATATTTTGCAGAGTTAAAATGGGATATTTATTTGTATCAGTGTTACGTTCTTTGAATTCTGGTGTTTCCTGAAACTTATTCTTGATCCAGAATAGCCTGAACTCAGCCTAAAATAATATATCGTGTGTATACATACAAATAAAAAAAATATAGTTCTTTATTTTGTTTATACATTATTGAAATTTATATTAATTATTTTACGGATGTAGATTAATTTAACAATTTAGCAATATATATGTATATTACCTCGCAATTCGTGAATGGCAATAAACTCCAAAACACCGCGTCTAATATATAAAAGATTTTTCGACTCTTTATCCATATACAATCTACAGCAGCACATTGATGTGGGTCACTGTCAGGATATCCACCTGGAAGTGCTGAAGGAAAGACACCATGAAGCCTGCCTTTTCTAGAATACGCTCTTGTTTCACCCTGATTCAAAATTATTAGGATAATTATTATACATTTAATGGATTATTATACATTTAATTTCTTTAATACTAATTTAAATATAAATTTCAAATGTGACATTAAATAAATATCAGAAGAGACAAATCGATACCCAGCCTGAGATCAGCCTAACACGATTTCCTGTTGGACATGGAATCATAACCCAGTTTTCAGTTAAATCTTGCGGCACATCTAGCATCCATTCTGACAGCATCATTCGATTAATTGTGGACTCTTTTGGAAGAACCCTATAATACCACGAATGGTTTCCCGCTCCCACAGACTCGTTTTTTGATTTAGAATACTCTTGCACTATACCACGTGCAGCGTTAACTGCTTCATCTCTATGTCTATAAGAATCATAAAATAGCATATTATATTTGTGTAAAATAATAGAACGATAAAAAAGATAAAAAAGATGAAAAAGAAAGCAAACTTTAGCATAAAAATATGATGGTAGAAGAAGCCAGTGAAAAATTAAATGTAATTACATATAAATAATTTATAGCAATGGCGGATATGGTTAAAGGCATAAATTTTGAACGTTTTCACTTCAATAGCTAAAACAACAATTAAAATTATTATTTATTTTCATTGATCATCTTATTACGAAATATTTTTCAATATTTTCGTCAAGTTACATTTTTTATTAACACTTATTAGTGATTCTTTTTCAATATATACATACAGAATAATTATTTAACATATATATCTCATCGCAAGTTATTCTTTTATATGGATTTTCTATACATTGCATTTATCTATTAGTTTCTTTTTAAGGTACACATTTAACAATAAAATATTGTTATATATGAATCTGTTATACATACTTCTTCTGATGTTCTAATAATCGTTTGCGTCTTTCTTCTTGAGGTGTACTGTCATCAATTTCTAACTTAATATTATCCTTTTTTATGCGGTTTTTGTAAAATTGCCTACGGACAGCTTCCCTTTCGTCACACTCGTTTTTATCCTCACTTTTGTTATCGCTTTTGTCATCGCTTTTGTTATCGCTTATATTATCGCTCGTGTTATCACCTTTATCGCTTATATTGTTGCTTATATCGTCGTTTGGTAATTCCACTATGTCCATTTCTACTATGTCCACTAAATACCTGAAACAACAATAGCTTCTTGTTTCAACAGTCGATGTAAATGACAAACTTGTACTTATTTTTTCAAACAAGTTGGTCTTAAATGTACGTCAATTAACAGAAATTGAATAAATACACTCATCCCTCGATTTATGCGGCAATTTTTATATGCAATTTTTTATAAATAATTCCTCCATTTATGCAGCACTTTTTGAAGTCTGAGCTTTACACAATCAGAAAATATATCTTTTTATCATATTTATTGAAATTATATATTAGTGAATCAAAAGTTCTCACTTGTTTCTTACTTATTACATGATTCTGATCTTTTTTGTTTTTAGTTGACTTGTGCAGAGTACATTAAGCTTATCCCCACAAGTGATAACAAATTTACTTTTTTGCACTTTGTGCAAATAAAGCACAATAAATGTAAAATAAATTTTTGACACAGACTTTTCTCTTACGTTGTTTTCTTTTTGTGCTAGCAGTCTTTACGCGATTCTCAACCGCGTAAAAAAAATCATGTGGAATAAATACTCTGTGTAAATCGAAGGCCGAGTGTACAGAACGCCACTGAATGATGAACGAATAATTTTATCTTTCCTTGTATCATTGATAAAATCGCAAATATTTGAAATACCTGAAAACATATAAAATATCGAAAAATGATAAATCTATTGACAAAAATGTTGCAATAGTTTTACAATACGCTAGTTACATACAATACTTACCTTTATGTAAATAAGACGTCTCCGATTGTTGAAACTGCTGTTAAAATTTTCCAACACGTTCTTACACGTGTCTCACCGCCAATATCTTCTCATCACACAGCACAGTAGAGAATATCAAAGCTTTTATCAATTTCTATAAGCTCACATGTGTTTCTGCGTACTGCTCAACATGCTCATCCGTTGGAGATGTCATTTGTCACAAGGTATATAAATGGTATCTGCACCAATCTGCACTACCTGCACACAAGGTGCGGAAACGCTTGCCGCGCAACAAGAAACGATGTGGTAGCCAATAAACTTGTGGTTCTTACGGAAAAACGGCATGTTGATTGGCTAATCGTTTTTTTTTTCCAAGCGTTTTCTAACCATCGATCCACACCAAATTTTTGGACGTGCTCTCGCAATCTATGTAGATTCATGTAATCTGTGATTTTCTGCGGGCGGAGAGATTCGTTTTGTTGAAATAATTATATTGTTATTAAAGTTTTCTGGAAATTGTTGAGTTAGAGTAATAAAAAAATTATACAAATATGCCTACATACGAAATGCCATTGTTGCTACGTATCATGAAAAAGGTATCGTGCTGTAACGTATAGGTTATGTTTTTCTCATCCCGGAAATAATAAAGATAGTTATGATAATCGTGTATGCGTGATATAATTTATTATTTCGTACAATAATACGTATGAATAACGTCAGATCTTTATCGGTTAAGAAGTGTATAAATTAATCAGTAAAGTATTCGATATGTGCTTGTAGCCGGAATTGGTAGCAACTTTAAAGAGAACAGCCGAAACGATATTCAATACCGGTGGTTTCATCAGAAAAATTGAAAATTGTGGGGTCAAGACACTTCCATGCAAAACGAGTATACATGGACGTGTTCATCACGAAGCAAAGTAATTATACTTATTAAGAGAATATTAATTGCCGCATAATTAAGCTGGCTCTGAATTGGGATAAACCAAATGCAATTGACAAATTATCTCTTTATTATTATATACTCAAGCAGAAGTAAAATATACATGGACATATTTTGTTCTACTTTGTATTTCTTATGTTTGTTTTTTTATATTTCCAGCCATTTTTTCATATATTTTGACGTACCGCCAAAAGTAATTGATAAAATTACAGATATATACCATAGAGATATCGATATCGTTAGATTAAAAATATTCAAACAAAGTGAACCAATTAACAAGGGATGTACGTTCCATGAAGAGATGTTACCACCACCGTACAGGTACGATTTGTAATCCTGCTTAACATACTTTGTAATGTGACTTGTGCAATGATTTACAATCAATATCCTATTTCTTATTTGTACAGGCCTGGCGTCCAGAAACTGATGGACATGGCAAAGAAACAGCGTCATAATAAACACGAATTCAAATACAACACTGGATTGGATTATTATCCATTCAATAAATAACTGAATGTATAGTTGTTGTATTTCTTTTATTGCAGTAGATCACACATTATATAGGACTTGAAATAAAATGTTTTAGAAAAGCCGAGCATATTAAATATTTCGAAAAGAAGATTAGTCGATCTGACTTACAGGGTAGAAGAATATTAAAAATGTAACATACAATTGTACTTCATCATAAGTAATATTTAATATAAAAATCACTTATTGATGTATCGTTTATTAACTCATATCTCAGCATTTTATGAAAAATTATTATTTCTCTAACCAATATATATTCAATATATATTTGTACAAAATACTTAATATATAATTATATATAATTATCTCTCGTGCAACACAAATTTGTAGAATCATTTGATTGGATCGTAACTTGAAATGTTCAATCGCAATAGGCGCAGCTAGCCGGTAACTCCCTTCGTTGTATACAATATACTTTGAAACATTCAACAATTATAGTGGCTATCCGAGCTAACGCTAACGCACAATATTCTTTGTTCCTTTGTATTGTGTAAGAATGTTTGTGTATTTTCTATCCTGAGAACTACACAGTCGCATTGTAATTCGTGAAATACAATAGCTTTGAATACATACTGGTAATGTATGTATATTATACGTAAGTAAAAAGGATTCACTTCGAATTGTCATAGAATCAAGAAACGAAATATAAAATATTACGTATTTCTCGAAGTGCTCATTTCAACATACTTTAATATAACATCGTATATTGATTCTGAATTATTACGTGATAGATTTGAAGAAAAAGTGATAACGAACAATGAAATTAAATAGTTTGTATTAATACGAAACAGGTACGGTTTAACCTTTGGATGCACGACCTAATAAAAATTTACAAAGACTCAAATAGCAAAAAATCAGTTTAATAAATCTTGGATTGAATAGATTTTTAATATCAAAACAGCTTAAGCTTTTTCTAAAAATTGTCTAAAAGAAGGAAAAGGTACTATCGATACAATTAGGATACAATAAAAAAAAATAGCAAATGCTGGTATGATCGGCATGAAAAATCCTCGTTATGCGTCCAAGGATTAAGTCGTCCTTTTCTCAAGTTATCTTGTATCACTTTTTTAATTTGAAGAATCTAATATCTTTATCTTTTTATCTTCTGTTATGAAGATATCTTACGCACCAGTATACTTCATTTTGGACCTCGTTAACATCTATTATGCGATATGCTACGTCTAAAGGAGTACTTGTTGCGGGAATAAAGGACAGAAGAGAGGTGAGAACAGAACGGTTTTTCCTCCCGGCGCGAATGCGGAAGGCAGATGTTTACATGTGTCTGGTGTTTCCAAAATTGATGCCGCTTTGATTGGCACCTTTATTACTGCCGTATTGTAGACTTATTACGCCTTGTCCGGCCCTCAGTTGTTCCTCCGTGAAATTACGTACATTCTTATCCGCTTCTTTAGGTCCGATGCTCGGTTTGCCGTAATTACCCGCCTGTAAAATTAAGTCTTATGGAATATCCAAATCGATATTTTCAAGATGTTATAAATTAAAGGGTAAAGTGCGTGTTAAAATGTGTCAAAACGCGTGATAAGAGCAAGGAACGATACCAATATGTAAATACTGATAACGCATCCATTTGTAGAGATGTATACAACAACAATAAGAGATAATGAATATTTGTATCAGGAAATTGAGATCTGTCTGCGTTACAGGCATAAATATAAATGATTTAACGCCCCTGTGATTAAGAATGATTAGCAATAAGATGTAGCATAGAAAATTTGATGCTCGTTTTCTTAAATAAAATTATATGTACATTAATTGATTCTATGCTCTTTAATGAGAAGTTGATTCTATATGTTACTCTTCTTTTTGAATTTTGAAATATTTGGTTAAGTGTGACAGATCAGACTTTACATGCAAGTTAAATAAGGTTTCCTGCTAACGAACTGAATAGCATATATTACTAGATTTAATTCGTAATATTTTAATTTTCACACGTCTGTTGTACAAAGATGTTTGATGTTCCAGCAGTTTTAACGAAGAAAATACTATAGATCGAAGTTTTAGCCACCCGGTATATCTGCGTTTGCGTTTATGGAATCGTACCTTCCTTCCAAGAGATTGTAAGCAAATAACTACGGAATTTAGATTCTGTCTTTCCCAGAGGTCTACGGTTTGGAAAGTCTCTTGCGGCGGTACACCTAATGACTTCGCAGCCTCCAGGAAGGCGTTTATATTCTCCATGCACTTGAAGGCCAGCGACGTCTTGTTAATTTTCTTCACCGAGCCCTCCTTGATGTCGTTCACCAGCCTAGCGGAAAAACAAAGTGCGATTAGCAAAAGCATTTTTAGCCTTACCGTATTTTCGGTAAAGGCTCTTCAAAAGCCGACCGCAGTTTTCCGATTTCTTCTTCAAATACCTGCAAAGCAGGATGCCGTCTTTTAGGATCTCGTAAAAGTTGTCCATATCCCCGTTGGTGCTTATGTTTTCGCCGGTGATCGTTTTGATCCATTCCAGACATTCCTGCGCGAGCTCCTCGCTGTACTTGCTATTGATCTGTAACACGAAGAAATTCATGCGTTATCCTCTGATGCAGAAATAGAGAAGGAAGGTGCCGTTTTCGAATTCTCGGGGGACGGCACGGTCAATGCTTCGGTGTTATGCGAAGTAGCCGGTTAATTAATTATACGATGTTCCAGTGTACCAAGTAATGCATCCTGTAGGGATTGCGACAAGAGCATTGCCGGAGTCACTGACCTAATCCATCGCAGCATCAGTTGTTCCTCCGATCTTTCTTGTAATACAGATACCGTCTTATTTTAAGGAATGCAAAGGACAAGCGCAAAAAATGAACGAAGATGCGCAATCTTTTTTATAATAATATTTTTATTTTTATTATTAAGAGCACAATAATTTCTATATTACAAAAAGATGGAGATTATTCGTGTCATGTATTTAACATTAGAACTACAAAGCAATCAAAATGACTGATTTGTAATTTTTTTTATAACGGCACATTTTCTAAGGTTTTCCTCATTGTCAGACTGAGGTGATTTTTGTTGCAATATGTAAAGGATTAATGTCCATTTCTACCAATGCCGATTAACTTTAATCTCGGTTTAACTTACTTTTTATTTCTTTCTAATTTTAAGAATTAGGGAAAGATAAAAAGCAAATTAAACCGAGATTAAAGTCAATCCGCATTGGTAGAAATGGACATAGATCGATCAATTACTTTTCTCTTTCATCCATTTTTTGTTTAAATATACATATAGTATATTGAAATAGTAGAAATAAAGGTGTACATTAATCGTCGGGACTTCGTGTTAATTGAATTTTAAATAATATGTAATAATTTTTCAAAATTATAGAATCTACTTTAAAATAAATTTGCCGGAGAATCAGTTATTAAATTTTAATTAAATTAAAATCGAATATTTTTTATGAAAGAGTGGGGCAACAATTAAATATTTCTATCCGGGCGGATGATTTTCCGTTTATATATGTATGATTGCCTAAAAAGGAGAGGTTTCTCTCCAAGCATGGACCGGCATTCATCTTCCGGCAGTATGCATATTCCGTTAGATATACGGTGCCTCGGATCGTGATGTACTTCGAGGGGACCAGTCATATAGAGGGTGTCCTACCACGCTGGCATGTTTTCTTTCATCTATAAGTTTTCGATCGATTCTTGTAAGAAAAAATTTTCTCCTCTCTGTTAAATCTGCATTTTTAATACTCTAATTTCAGATTAAAATCTATGTGCAATTAAATAAAAAGAAATTATATTATCTGCAGCTTTAAAATGTAACTTTAAGGTAGCTAGTACATCAGCGAAAACAAAGATTTTTGATTGGCATGAAACTATGTTATTCTATAGGGCATTATATGTGATCAGGGATTAATTCACGATTTTTTACTACGTAATTACGGAAATATAAGCATTCAATGTTGGTAAAGCATTATTAACAGTGCTTTTAAGTGATTAATTACTAGCCAAAAAATCACTTACAGTATTAAATTTCTATAAGGGATTTATACAATTAATGACCCAAAACTTTCAGAGTTATTTTTTATCATTATTATGATAGTTGAGAAACTTAGGATTATATTACACCCAATTTTTTAGATTTTTTATTACAGTCGTTTTGACGAATGTGAAGTTGGTACCCGCGTGTAAGACACTTCGTTTTTAATTAATTACCTGCATCTGGGATTAATTACATGGTGTTATTATACATTTCTGGAAACTAGAAGTTGCATGAAACAAGGTGATACCAAATATTTTTTAATACATTAATAAAAAAATTTTTTTGAGACTCTATTTTGACTCACTGCAACGCTGTAGCTACCTTAAGTGTGTAATTATTTGTAATTCACGGCTTATTAGTTATTTCGATAATTTTAGGACGAGGTAAATATCGAATTAACAGCGTGCAGAATATCTTGCATGCTACGCATTACGTGGGCGCGTTTCACATATGCATTTAATTATAATAATATACTGCATGTTCGGCCTCCCTGGCGACTAATATCCGCGCGAAAGTGTTTTTATAGCGGATGCTGTTTCAGATTTTTGGTGCGTCGCTTCACAGTGACGCGCGCACCAAATTCGATGCCAGCCCAAAACTATTTCTGCGGCATGTTTCCTCTGAAAACATTATCGCTCATAAAGAGCATAGACGCGTAATGTAACATCCTGGATGTATCTTATACAAAGGGTAGGTACACATTTCAAGCGTTTTCTTGGCAGATATCATCGTTCAAATTATTAACATTGTACAACATAACTTCACATAAACGCCTCTTGGTATTTTGTGAAAAATAATTAGCGATATAGCCAGAATATGAATTAATTGTATGTTTTCGCTACTCTTGTTTAAATTTAATTTGTGTTTCTTTACAAGAAAAATATTGATGTACATCATATAACTCATAATTTATAGTTGTCAGTATAGATTCTGTTGCGGTGCATCGAACGTCGGCAAATGTCGTGGACAATGCCGTGACACGAATCTCGTGCAGAGTATCCTCATGTTCGTTTACTTTCACCTGAGACGTCATCCAAACTGCCAGGGAATTAATTGGCATTCAACTTGCTCGTTCGAAACTTCCTTATACGTACACGTTAAGTCATTTAACGATTTCAACAGTTTCACCGACAGCTTCTCGGAGCAAATAAGGATACTGCATAAGTTGAGTATCTAACACATCCAGCAAATTTAAGTCTCCCATAATTGTATTCTACACCTATTTTGTATAATATCAACTTATTGAAAGAATTCTTCCTAATATTATACTTAACATTTTTTAATGCTTTATGTCGTTTAAAAAATATAAATATCTCTTACAGCATAAAACTACATATCTTTTGGTTCAGGCCTGTATTAATTTTAATTAAATAAAAAACTTTTCTTTAACTTGCTTATTCGAAACTTCCTTGTATATATAATTTAAATTTCTTGTTTTCTATTGTACTCTATGTAATATCAACTTATTAAAAAAATCCTTCCTATTATATTTAACACTGTTAAATGCTTTATATCGTTTACAAAATATAAATAATTTACGGCATAAAGCTAAATATCTTTCGGTTTATGCATAAATGGCCTGCATAAATTTCTAAAATTATTAAAGATGAGACGCTTTATATTTGATATAATTTTAAAGTTTCAATTTCGTAAAAAAAAATCGCTATGTGCGATTCGGTTAAAGCGTTAAAGTCTACACGCGGTCGTTTACTTTTGTACGCGTCCCGCATAGTTGCACATTCCTCCTCGACGATTATCGGAGCGCTTTCTTTTAAAGAGTAGCCGTCGCGATACCGCGGTCACAATGTGGAACGCGATCGCTTCTATATTTAGGCATTAAGTAAGCGCACGATAATTTCATTAACGTGAAAAGAGAGTGACAAGCGAGGGCTTTTAGTATACGCGCGAAAGGCGTGTGACACTTTGGATCGCGTGCTTTTTTTCTGAAGTGACGATAACGGTGGTCGTCTGCCTCATGTTGAAGCCACCGCCTAACTTTACGCGATTAAATATTTCATCATCGCTAAAAAGATTTTATGGCATTGTTTACTTCTAAAATGTGATATTATAAATTATGATATTATGAAGTGGATCGATAATGAGATACACGCAACTGTCTTTAATAAGAGGCTTCAAATATTTCGTTGATAAAGGAACACGTTCTTTTAATATAATAATCTCCTTGTTATTGTGGAACTGTTTTAATGTTACAGTAAAGGTAATAAAATATAGAATTCGATATAGGAAAGCAATATTCGCGCATAGTGACAATTCTCTGTACATATGTGATATCATCGGATAACTGTCTATCTTTCTCTTATCAGTATCAAGGCTGTAAAGCTTGTAAAAATAATCAGTAAATATGTTATAGTAAATTATGCCGGCGAGTAATATTCAAAAATTAAAAGAACAAACGTAATAAATTTTTTGAACAATTTTTTTTGTTAATTCCAGTACGTATTACAAATTTCTTACTTTTTTCTCAATTTGCGAGTGATTATAAGTTTGACTTTTAATGTATCAGACATATAATGTATTAGAGGAACTTTTGGTAAAAGCAAAAGAATTCGTAATTACAAGGCAGAAACAAGAGAGTCGCGGTAGAAACTTTAGAAACGCTAACAAGAATACCGTGTAGTTTTTAAAACGCCGACGATCTAATCTGTGACAAGGCTTTATCTCGTAGAAAGCTTTGTACAAATAATTCGACTCAACGACGCGATTAGAACCAACAGCTATCGTATCAGGTTCCAAGAGAGGGACAGAGGAGGAGGAGGGAGTATGTCGTAGCCCTTATGCCAAGACGGACGGCAAAAGGAGAAATATAGAGAAAGGGTGTGACGCGAAGCTATACGGATGCCTCCTCTCGGCATACCGTACGATCTTGAGGTCCCGAGCTCTCTCTGAACAGGCCCCTAAAGCACGAAGGGCGTGGAGGGCCCCCATAGAAATTATGCGAGGGTCACCCGCGTGGTCGCATCACAAAGGTGCGCTGTCACGAAATTTAGATGCATCCTAAAGCTGCGGAGGAAATTTATGCTCTGTCGTATAAAATCCGTCATCATTATTAGAAGGCTCAAAATCGGTTCGCATTAACGTGAAAAAAACCGGCTTTTTTTTTACTTTTCGGAAACCGGCTTTTTGTCCATCGTTGCGTTTGAATATTTCAAAATTTATATACAGCAGTCATCGGTAGGTTGCACTTAGGTACGAAACGGTATGAAATGTACGGCTTTTTCGCGGATTGAAAATATTCCGACAATCAATTAGCCACTACGAAAAACTGCACGATGTGAAATCATGTTGCAGCTGGATAGTAGGCATTATGATTAGCGAGATTTGCAGGATTTATCAAGATTATATATTGTATCATGATTGCGTAGATTAGAACTTTTTCGTATGAAATGGAAGCGAAGTATCGGCTGATTTATCAAAAGATAATTCTCACTCGATTGTTCTACGTAAGTGATTTAAGTACTTACGTATAGATAATTATCAAAGTCCATGAACCGGTAATTTTGATCT